CTGGCACTCTTCAAGGACCCCGGCCACTCGCTGCACACGCATCCCCCATGCACACCCTGCAGACAGCCGGCAACTGCTTGCTGCTCAGCCCAGATGGGGTGAGTGAATTACATCACCGATTTGGGGCTGTTTCAGCACTAGCTCATGCTTATTCATTTTGCTCTGTGTGAAACAACTCCCAGTTGCAAGGAACAGAGTCACCTGCCCAGAGCTGCTCCCAGCCATCGCCTGCTCTTGCCCCGGCATTGCTGGGGCTCCCCACTTCCAGCTCCTTGCCCCGTAAGGCGGGCAGTGCTCATGCAGCCGGCCCTGAGCCCCGCGGGGAGGCTGCGCTCTGGATTTTGGTGCAGCCTGGGGGTGGCCGGGGTGGCGCACGCTCCGGCGCTGGCCGTTTGTGCAGTCGTGTGGCTGCCCGGCTTCCCCTCCCCTTGGCCCGGGGCCTCATCTGTCCCACGGGGGCCCTGCGCGCCGCAGCCGTGACATGGCAATAAACAGCGATGGTAGTGGCGATAACGAGGAGAGTGCAGCAGCCCCGTCCAGAAAGGAAACAAAAAGGGGAGCGCTTGGGGACAGAGCTTCAAAAAAAAAAAAAAAAAAAGTCGATGAGCCAACTCTGTGCAACAGGCAGGTTTTAGTCCTCCTCCCCTCTGTGCCCTGCTGAGTACGCTCCTCTGGCAGCATCCTCTGGCTGCATCACGGGCACTGAGCCCAAGCAGTCGCACTGTGACCTCTCTCTCACCTCCCTGGGGTGCCACTGCCCTCCCACCAGAGCTGAGTGTCTATCCAACGTAGCAGCAGTTTTTCTTTTCTGCCACTTGACTAAGTCTGAACACAGCAACAAATTATGCTGGGCTTCAAGGACTGATTTATCAACTCTGTGTATTGCACAAGCTTTTGGGTGTTTACTTGTTTGGTACTTTGGTTGTGAAGTGACAACATGGCTCCTAAGGCTTTCTCGACCAGTTTCTGGGTTCCTCTGTGGATGACCCAAATCCACGGGACATTATTCAGCCTTTACAGCTTAGAGTCCTGTTGAACATCTAAAGGTATGTCCTGTACTTGCAGTGGAAGAAAACATGGGTCAGTCTGGTGAAATATATGGCCAGTCTCTGCTTTGTCACGTGAATCTGTCCGAACTACACAGCTTCCTCTCAAGCATTAATTTGACCTGAGGAAATAGCTTGAGGCCATGAAGCCTCAAGCTGTTCTGGCAAGACGTGGGCTTGCTGCTCACAGCAGGCACTGGGCTCCGCATGGCTCTGCCCTGCAGCCTCTCCCCGCCAGCCGTGAGGTGCTGGGGCTCCAGTGCTGGCACAGGGCTGTCCTGACATCGAGTGTTGGAGGGCTGCTATGAAGATCAGCTGTGGTGGTGTTTCTACCCCAAAATAGCTTGCCATATATTTTGGTTCTTTTAGTCCTGTTTCCTAAAGAGATAGAGCAATGAGACTTCACTGTCTGTTGCCTGTTGATCAGTCTGTTTGGGACAGCCCACATCCCTGGCTGGATTGCCCCAAACCTGCCAGAGGAGAAGACTTCTTGGCACAGAACGCGATAGCACAGGGCAGCTAGCAATGGTTTTACTTGTGTTTCCTTATGAGACAACATGTTCAGGCCGTTGTATGAGAGAAACATTGGTTTCTTTTTTGCTACAAGAAAATAATCTCTGGTTTACAGAAGGGCTGTGGGGGAGGCGACTGGCCACTTCCCCATTGCCAGGCACTAACTTGCACATCCCCATTGGAGGGAGCAGTTTACATTTTCTCTTTCACATTCAGATGGTTTCCCTCTGGGAGTCCTGTGAATGCTATCTCAGAGCAGTCCTGCTCGTGTTGGACACCACCTCACTCCGCTGGTGACAGGGACCTTGATGCAAAACCTGTCTGTGGCCCCTTTGGCAGGGGATGCCCTGTGTGCCATCTTACTGGGATATACTGAATTCCCACCTCCCCACCACCTTCTGATACGTGGGGTGAGCATGGCTGTTGCGGTAGCAGGGCCATAATGACCTTTCATCAGTCACCATTGTATGGGTTTGCAGGTGCTGTTGGGACGTGGGCAGCAGCAGCACCCCTCCCCAGCAGTCCCCGTGTGCCCAGCCTCGGTGGGAATTTGGCAGAGGGGAGCTCTGATTTTCACAAGAAATGAGAGCTCCTCTGCTCCAAGTGTTTGGGAAAGAGCTGACCCAAGAGGACTCTCGGTTTGGTTGTGTCCAGCATTCCTAGCATTGACCACATCTCCTACCCAATCGTGAGGGCTCTTGGGAATTGCTTTCCCAGTTGCTTTCTTGCTTTTGTGAACTTTGCTGGTGTTAATGGCTGTTCTGAAGGCAGATGCCGTGTTGGCTGAGTCATGTCTTTCTATTTTGAGGTGTGACATGCCTTGAAGACAGCACCGTCCATCAAACATGGTTTGGGCAGGAGCTCTCCAAGGGAGCTACTGTTGTGAGTGATCTGTGCTGGGACAGGTTTTGCTTGTGAGTCTCTACTATGATTCTTCAGTTCAGACTGGCATTACTGGGGGCTGTTCATGGTCCTACTGAAAGCGGTGGTTTCTGTTGTTGCCGTACCATGTAATTAAATCTCGTTATTGACCTTGTCCTCCTGGTGCAACATTATATACTTGCCCCTTCCTTGCTAATCTGCTTCTCTTCCAGCTCTGTGTTAGCCCTGTCAGCAGTGGTCACGTTGTTCGTTCCCCACTGCCAGGGCAATGCCAGGCGCACACCACTAGCCCGGTCATCTGCTGACAGCGGGGGAAGGTGCCATGCACAACATGCTGGGGTCACTCTGGCTCTGGTCACCCTCCTACGGTGACCTCCCAAGCCCATGGGCAATTGCTCTGTGCCCTCCCTGAGCCCCAGTGACCTCCCCTCCGCTGTTGGGCAGATGTGGCCACCTGAGTGCAGCTTCCAGCAGAGGCTGGGTGGAATCTCCTCCACTATGGAGGGGAACAGCACTGTGTCCCTGCGCAGAGCCGGGCACCGAGACACTGCCACATCGCCTGGGGCAGAAAAGACCTCAGTTATAAACAGCGCTGGATTCACCACTGAGGATTCTAGATATAGATACACCCATGGTGGTCCCTCATCTTCTGGTCTCCAGATTGTGCCTGTAGTCAGGCAAGGCAGATGGGTACCGATGTGCTACCACCAGCCACACTGCCAGAGCACTGCAAGGAACAGCAACGTGACATTGTAGCGCCAGCTCAGTCATGTTCGTGAACTCCTGCCTGAGCATGTCTCACTGCAGCCCAGTGGGAGCTGCTTGCTCCACAGCACGAGATGCTGAACACGCCCTGAAACAGCTGTTTAAACCCCAAATTTCTTTGTGAGGGGTAAAGGATTTGCTGTCAACACACAGCTGCTTTCCCCCAGCTGATGACATGTCTGTAGAGTGAAGGGACTGTGCTGGTGAAGATACTGTACAAGGGAGGTATTGCTCAGGGAATGGGACTCGTATGGAGGCAGGGAGCAGTTCCGCCATCCCACAGCTCCTTCCACCTCAAGAAAGCAGCCAGCTCCTTGCCTGGCCTCTCCCAGACTGGCCACATTTGGGAGCCTGAGCTCTGCCCACTTTTATTTCCCCCTCAGGTGGAGAGCACTTGCCTGGGCTGTATGTGCAAGCAAACCTGGCAGCGGTTTTCAAAATGCACTTATTTTTTCCCTTCGATTGTTTTTTCCAAAGCTGACTCTGGGAATGGAAAGAGAGATGCTAAATCTAAAAAGCTGATGCTTCCGGAAAACTCATTTCTTTCCTTAGAAAGAATGAAATGTGACGTTGGCGAGGAAGTCTCCAAAGAGTCATTAGTGTCCAGGAAGCCGCTCGACTTCCACGCCAGCTTTAGCAAAGGGCTTCGGGGCTCATTCAGTCCTGATGGGCAGATGAAGGTCCGCTGCAGTGCGAGCTGTGAACGTGTTTCATTAGTGAAATGGCTGTAAGAGCCGTTCTCGCCTTCTCCCTCCATGGGCATGAGTCTCCTGGCAAGGACGTGCCTAGCCGGCGCAGCCAGCAGGCAAGCGGCGCAGCAAAGTGTTGCTGGAAAGCAGAGTCTGAGCTTGAGATGCGTTTCCTTGGCAGTGAGAGCCTGAGGAAGAGCATCTGGTTTCATATCAGAGCTGCCTGAAACCACAAGCCCTGCCAGGTTTTGAGCGGAAACTGAAAATCAGTCCAGAAGGGGGGCTCCGGGCTGGTCCACAGCATACATTGTCCCCCCTGCCTCTTCCGCAGGTCTCCTCCACCCTGGCAGCCTGTCCAAACGGGGCCAGAAATGAGGCACAACCTGGCAGGTGATCTTTATGTGGCTTTTGAGTTTCATAACGAAAGTTTTGCTTAGTTTTCATTTTAACTAAGACACCTTGCTCTGGGGCAGCTGATGTAAGGTGAGATGGAGCCAGACCCTGCCCTCCGTGTTTATCCTTGGCCATGGTTCAGGTCCTCAGGCGAGCCTGGAGCTGCTGCTACCTGGACAGGAAAGAGGGCTGGAGGCTGGAAAGCTGCATTTGTCCCCCTTACCTACCTGAGCTGTGCAGCTGGGCTGCAGGTCAGGATCAGGGCCAGAAATAGCAGCTGCTCCACCGGCAGATGGGCATGGAGTAAGAGGAGGGTGCAAACAGGATGTCAGACCTGCCCCTGATGGGGTCCCCTGGATGATTTTGCTGTAGCGTCAGTTAACTTGCCCTGGTGTAAGTGATGACTCTGGATCCCAGAGGAGCGGTTTTGGGGACTACTGGCTGCAGTTTTGAGCAGCCCAGAGGATGCAAGGTCAGATACTCAGGTTGGCTTTGGGGAAACAGCCCGCTCGAAGATGCCCTTCAGCTCATGCAGTGAAGAAATCCCCCTTTGGCTCACATTTGATACTTGTGCTCCAGCCACTCTTGCCAGAGCTAAAAGGAAACGCGGGCTGGGCAGCCGCCCCAGAGCTTTGTAATATTAGACGGAGCCTCTGATGTGCTACTTTCATAACCCATCTCGCTCAAAGGCAACTGCAGGGAGAAGGGGGAGGGCAGCGCGAGGGTGGTGAATTCTGGTCTCCTCTGCAGGACGTCTGTCATCGCATGACGAAATGCTGCGAGTACATGTGCTCATGTGTCTCTCCTACGGTTGAGCACTCGCTGCATTTCTCTTCAGGACGCTCTGGCGCTGAACAGCTTGCTCGCCGCTGCCGATGGTATTTGTATGAGCCTTCCTCACGCCGGGAGCAAGCCGGGGTTTCGGCTGCAGGAATGGGAAGAGTTGGGATCGGAGCGGTAACTGGTGGTGGGATGGGGGAAGAGGGGAGAGGGGGAGCACAGCCGGGGGAACAGCTTTCTACCCTTCGTTCCTGTGCAATATGTGGGTTTTTCTTTGCGAGCGTCTGTAGTGGAGCTGATAAACAACCACAGGAAACCTCAGACGTACCCGTGTAGTGAATTTGTAACTAAATACAGGGCTGCAGAAGGCGTGGAGAGACTGGCTTTGGAGTGGGACTAAATATAACTCAGAGAAAGCAAGCGTGTGTGCACCATGGGCTGCGCTTGCCCTGCTGTGTCACTGCTGTCCTTGGGCAAAGCGGGGAGGCGGGAGAGGGGACATCCCCCGAGGCTGGCCATGGTCAGCACAGCTCCAGGCCATGGCGTTCGGGACCCAAGCCAGGGTGTGCTGGGCAGCGGAGGATGCCCGGGCACGTTGGAGAGCCGGGGCAGGACGGTGCAACCGAGCTTCCCAAGGAAGCGTGCCCACTTGCTGCTAGCCCAGCTCCCACCGCCAAAGGGTTTGGCTTTAGGTTTTCTTTCACGGCTTCAGATATTTCTGCATTTCGCTCAGCCTGTGTCTCACGTGTTTCACCTAGTCTAGAGGTTTTGGTTTTTAGTGATTTCTGCCAGCTTTTGATGATCTGTGAGACAGAGCAGCAAGTCTTTTGGGGAGGCTGTGCATCCCCATGTTGAATGTTTCCAAGGGACAGTCTGAGTCACTTCTCTCCACTGAGTATGATGGGGTTGAGATGACTCATGTAGATGGACACATCTCCATCCTTCTGCCATGGGATTTTCAATCCCACCCCAGCGTCCTGACATAATGAGGGCTTAAAAAGGACTGAACTTCAACTCCTGCCATGGATTGGAGCTAAGAAGGAAATATCCTTTCCTTGGGACAGGGACATGCTTTCCTGCAGAGCTGGACTGTTCCTCCAGCAGGTGCACCAGGCTGGGGAGGCAATCCCATTGCTGTGTCATGCACTCACTGGGAAGTTTGCCTGGCTGGTTTTTATCGTAATGGTCAGCAGAATGGAACAGGCTGGGGGAGCTGGGCTGCTGTGGGGTGGGACGTGGCCCAGGTGGCCTCCTGGGACCAATCTCTGGTCCTGGTCAGGCTGGATTCCCCTGCAGCTCATAGAGGCTGGTGTTTGCTGGCGGTGTGTTGGCAGCACTTCCAAAAATCCCCCGGCTCTCTTGGTGGTGAGGCTGTGACTGTGCGATGCCTTGCTCTGACTGTCTCTGCTCAGGCTACAACCGCTCAGGGGTGCGTGGAGGCTGGTGGCCAGGAGAGCTCTCCACTGGCACAGGACCACATAGTGCTGAGCCTGAACCAGGGCCCTTTGGGACTGCAGGTGATGTATCCTGACACCCATAAGGGTGCTAGCCCATATTATAATTAAAACAATCTATCGGGGCTAACAAGGGCAGAGTGAGCATGGATCCTTCTTCATGGCGGACAAGAGCAGCTGATGCAGCCCAGCCTGGTCTCTGTGTGCAATAGGGACTGATGACTCTACAGGGACCAATGACCTTCTGTCTGTACAACCTGGTGGTGCCCACCCAGCCATAGCTGGGACCCTCCAGGCACATCCAAAAAGCAAACAGGGTAATGCGTGATCTGATGAAACCTGCCTGATCACAGTGTCTTTGCTGTCTGTCCTGCTAATGACCAGCCCTCAGAGAAAGGAGAGGGTATTGGTGTGGTCTCCCCACCATGCCTCCCTGGCTGTAAGCACCGGGGAGGGGACAACCCTGGAGGAAGGTGACTATTTTCTTGTGCAGGCCTGGGCCAGAGCATGACGCAAATGGGGAACCTCTGCTCAGGAGGAAGGTGGTTCAACGGGGTGAGCATTGGGAGGATGGAGAGGTAGGGAGGGAGGCAGACTGGAGGATCTCAGCCCCAGTGGCCTCACCTCCATATGGGACTGCACTTCATCTTGTATTAGCTCGGCTAAAATAGAGCAGCTGTCACAAACTGTTCCCCACCGCTGGGACCCCACTGACTGCTGCCTTGCAGAGGAGGGACACTGAGGATGGGTTTACGTGATGCTCAGCACCCGATGCTCAGCCAGGTCCTGCTCACACTCTCTTCATCACCCTGGTAGTTTGGAAAAGGAGGATGAGGCTGCAAAGCCCTTTAACCCATGGTCTTATCTGCCAGTTTCCAGGGTGAACTGTGCTTTCAATGCAAAGTTCTTCATTTTAAGAATATAGCCAGATGGTTCCCATAACTACCCCAAACTCTCGGGAGAGGTGGCTTTCGAGTCACTAAGGTTTTTTCACTAAAAAACCTCATAGTTATTGAAAACTGAAGGGACGAATGTGACTTCCCTTCTCGCCCTTCCTTTTTAATTTTTTCCTGCAAATGAAATAAAATACAGCTGATGCCATGGGTATTTTAAGAATTGCAGAGAGGAAGCAGGGATTTGCAGCTCTGCAAAGAAGTGGGATGAATGCAGAGAAGGCTCTGGTCTTGCTGAGCTGGCAGACAGCAAAATAACCAGTTACGGGATGAAATGTGTCTCATGTCTGCTGCAGGGAAGGGAAGAGATCCAAGCGGGGAGGAGGGGGACAGAAAGCGGAGGAGCCCTCACGGGTGTGGATCAGGGAACTGAGCTGCTTCTGTCTCTCGCCGGCACTTTTGCAGGGCTTGCTTTTACGCCCCGCACCATCATATTTCCCCTCGACCCATCTATCGTCTCCCAACGGTCGTGTGTGTTGGCTGGGGCCTGTGAGCCCTTCCTGTTCCTGGGTAGAAAGCTTGTGGTCACCGGTGAGCTCAGACACATGCACACAGAGCAGAAGTGAGCCTCGTCCACGCTCGGCGGCGTTGTGTGTGGGCTCCGGTACAGATGCCGCGGGGATCGCTGCTTCTCTGTCTAGCTGTCGCCTGCTGCACCTCAGCCGAGGAGCCGGTGCCCTTCGGCTGTGCCTGATTCACCACCGCCTCCTCCCTCCTCCTCCTCACAATGTGCCTGCTGGGACGGTCTTGTGCCCCGAAGGGAGCTGTGATCCTTGGAGCTGGAAGGATGCAAGGGAAGGTGAGTGCAGCCCGGAGCCGGGGAGGTTTGGGACAGGGTCCTTCCTTGTGTGGTCCCTCTGCTCCCACTCGCAGCGGGGACGGTGCAGGGCCAGGCTGTGGTGGGAGATCCTATCCCCAGCCTTCAGGGGAGCAGGGCAGGGCTTCCCAGGTGAAAGCCTGTGACCTTCTCTCTTTCAGGTCTGAGTTAGTCCACCAGGCACTAGGACCAGTGCAGAGTCCATCCCCAGAAACGGGGACAATATTCCTCTACTTGTGCGGGGGATCACTCATTTTGGGAGAGATGAGGCAGGCAGAGAGGCTGTCTGTGGTGGGGAGCTCTGATGCCTTGTGCTCCCCTTCCTCCGGGGACTGTGCTGACACTTGCTGTCAGCAGCAACCCCTGTCTGCTGTGCTGGGATGTGGGGATGTGACACAGTTAATGCTGAGGGTCTGGTCCTAGAGACTCAGTGAAGTCTCCTTGGATGAGAATGTCCCTGCGTGAGACACCAGGCCAGCAGTGCAAACCTGGGACAGGGGACCTGGCTCACCCAGATCCCTGGGTGAGAAGGGGGGGCTGCAGTGCAGCTCAGACCATCTCTGTGCCAGCCATCCCCATGCAGCACCTGAGCAAACCGTGGTCATGGGGGCCCCCTGGCTGGCTCACAGCATGTGGTAAGTCAGGGCTCGATGGGCACAAAGTGCAGAGGTGGCTGTAACCAGGGTCTTTAGCCCCATGGTCTGCAACCAGAAGGGGTGGCAATGGTAAAGGACTCAGCAAGAAGGGACTTGTCCCTGCATGCAGAGGATGCAGGGACACGCCTCTCCACCCTCTCCAGGGAAGGAGTGGTCCCAGCATCACAGCATCACGTCCCAGCATGTCGCATCTGGTCTCCCAGGGGATTTATGGCTGCTGTGTCCTGGGAACAGCCTGGCAGGCAGAGGAGCACAGGGTGGGTGTTGGGGACCGATCCTGTCTCAGCAGGCCGAGAAACAGCCTGATGCAGTGATAGGGGTCCTGTTACACCCCAGGTTTCTGGGTGCCGGTGGGTGACATCTCCCACTGCTCTGACACCAGCACTGGGGTCTTCATGGTGTGTGCCTGCAGTTCTACACACCCTCTGCTAAAATGCTTTTTCACCCAAATCGGCAGCTCTAAGTGTGTCACTGGAGCTTCAGATGGTTACTGTGTCCCTGCAGCGACACACAGCTTCTAGGTGGTGTTCAAGGAATCCCTCCTGCCAGGTGACGGGCTTCATCCCTTATGGTTAGCCTCTGCCCAGAGCAGCGTCACTGCCAGGGCAGGGGCTGGCAGTCTCCTTCCCAGGGGTATGTAGGTTGCGTCTTTGCTCCCTGCCATTCTCTGCTCAGCCAAAGAGGTGCCAAAGTCAGATCATCTGGCATAAATCAGCCTGGCTTCATTAATGTCACTCAAAAGCTACCCATGCACCTCGGCTGGGGAGCAGCCTACACCTCCACGGACAAGGAACTGTCTGTAAGTGCTCCGCGCAAAGGCTGAATTAGTCCTTGGTTACAGCACAGGCTCTTGCATTTTCAAAGCCTTCCTCGCCATGTTACTGGGTTTGGATTTGTGTCGGGGTGATTGCAGGGCCAGCTGCTCTCAGGAAAGTCCTGGTGAAGCCCAGGAGGGAAGGGCAGGCAGCATTCCCGTCCGTGGTGGCTGGGAAGGGCAAATGCAATCCTGCTGTCTGAACTGCTCCGAACTGGGGCTGATGCTGTTCAGCCCTTCCCATCCTCAGCCCTGCATCCCTCCTCCTCCTCCTTTGGTAGCCCTGGTACCCTCACCCTTGGGAAGCAAAGCAGGCAGAAAATGCCCCCAGTGAAAATGGGTGATTTTCTGCTCATTTAGGTTCCTGTGCTGGTTATGGCCAGGCCAAGCGAGAATCAGCAGCTAGTGCCTGGCAGGAACCAGACTGACCCGTCTTCCTCACCAGCCTGTTTCCATGTATGTCCTTTCATGTCTCTTCTCATACAACATTTACCTGTCCTCCTGCAGATGGCATGACTGGACTTTGAATATGCTGGAGACCAGTTTTTGGCATTTTATGTTGAATTTTCTTGGGAGACCTAAGCAGGCAGGTGGACTATGGATTCAATCTCAGCTCCTCTTTGCTGACAGTGAGGAAAGCCAGCACTTTTTAAGCAGACAGGTGAACTGAGAACCAAAGTTTCTCAGGCAGGAGCAGCTCACATCGCTCTGGCCCTGTTGAGTCCTTTTCTAAATTTGGAATCGGAGCACTGGCAAGCAGGTTCCACGTTTGGTCACCAGCTCCCTCCCACGCGCAGGCAGGTAGGATGCGGATGTGGAATATCACCGATGCTATTAGCAGCGGGCTGTGTTTCACTTCGGCCGGCAGCCTCTCCAAGCCTCGAGGCAGGGGCGGGGGAGGGGCCCGGGACGCAGCCCCGGGCCCGCC